ATATATAAGTTGTAAAATAAAAATTGGACCTGGATTAAAATCCAGGCCCAAATCAAATTACCCTCCCACGTGCCCCGCGGGCGCGGTAAAAAGGAGGTGTGACAATTACCACACTACCAATGGCCTCCCACCTCATCTTATGAACACCCTCAAAACAGCTTTTGAAATGTCCGGTCCATATTTTTCCAAAATATAACAAACTCTAAATCCTGACTTGGTTATATATGACTACAATCAACCATGGATTGCTCAGTTGGCTTTATCTATGAATATTCCTGCTGTGCAGTTGCTCACTTTTAGTGCAGCTGTTATTGCTTTGGGCTTCCACATGTCTGAAGACAAAGAAGATAAGTTCCCCTTCCCTGAAATATACCTGCGCGAATACGAGATGCTTTCATTGAAGAAAGCTATTAATGAATCACCAGACAAGGAGTTCCCATTCTGCGAGGCACTTAGGCGATCACGTGATATTGTTCTGGTGAAAACTTGCAGAGATTTTGAAGCGAAATACATGGATTATCTTTCAAATTTGGTCTCCAAGAAAATTGTCCTGTTTGGCACACTAGTTTAAGAATCCATTGACCAAGATGAACATGAGGAGATCATGCAATGGCTTGACAAGAAAGAAAAAAGTTCAACTGTGTTGGTTTCATTTGGGAGTGAGTAGTTTTTATCCAAGTAGGAAATACATGCAGTAGCTCAAGCCTTAGAGCTTAGCAAAGTGAACTTCATTTGGGTCATTAGGTTTCCACAAGGTGGAAAAAATAGTACCATCGAAGATGCATTACCAGAAGGGTTTCTTGAACGGGTAGGAGAAAGAGGAAAGGTTTTGGAAGGATGGGCTCCACAAGCAACAATTCTTCAACATGCAAGTATTGGTGGATTCGTGAGTTATTGTGGATGGAGTTCTTTTATGGAGAATGTGAAATTTGGTGAGCCTATAATTGCAATGCCAATGCACATTGACCAACCAATGAATGCTAGGCTTGTGGTATATATCGGGATGGGAGTTGAAGCAGTGAGGGATGAAAACGGGAAACTACAAAGTGAGGAGATTGCAAAGGCGATAAGGGAAGTGGTAATGGAGGAAAGTGGGGAGGCTGTGAGGAAGAAAGCTAGAGAATTGAGTGAGAAGATGAATGTAAAAGGGGATGAAGAGCTAGATGATGTGGTGGAAGAGCTGGTAGCACTTTGTGGTAACAAATGATTAGCAATAAGATTTCAAGTTATATACTATCTATTAAAACAAAGTTTAAACTATCAGTCACTCTTAAAGATAATTACCTTAAAGATGAACAAAAGTTTCACCACAATGTAAATTGTATCCCAGAAAAACATATAATGAAGTTTCCAAGAGGATTGCTTGACATTAGGAAACCAAGAAAAAACAATTAACTACACAGGCATGACATTCACTCTATATCCAATTTTTTGCAAGTACAACTGCCATTTTGTTGTCTCAATTAACGTCGATGTGTTTTAAGACCTATTCCAAGCCAGCATTATCATAGATCAGAACAGAGTTTTAACATCACACGATCCACAGAGAAATAAGCACAATTTCGTGCATTAAAACATGATGTCAAACAACGGGTAAGTACCATGCCAGTGGATCTAGTTAAGATAACAATTCAGCACTAAGCCAACAAGAAAACTCATTTTCAAGCATTTTGCAGAGGCGTACATAGCAAAAACAATCAGTGAAGCAATACAACAAAGACATTGTTGGCATAAAAATTGCATTAGTAGTTGAGAAATAACCACCAACCAAATTGGAGAATAAAGCACTTCAGCTTCAACAATTGAAGCATCAGATCGACTGTAGGAACTAATTGCATTATTCCCTGTAGAATCAAAATCCAACGCAATGAAATATTAAAGAAGGGTAGAATTCATACCTGAATTTCGCAGAAAATGCAGCGATGGATATACCGCGTTATATATAGCGTGGTGTAATACCGTGCTATACCTGTTTGTGGACCCACCAATTAGTCTCATGCGGGTAACTGACATAACAGTAATTCAAATATATATAGCGCGGTGTAATACCGAGCTATACCTATTTGTGGGCCCACCAATAAGTCTCTTTCGGTTAACTGACATAACAATAATTCAAATGGGCAACGTGGTGTAATACCATGTTATACATCAAAAAATTCAGCCCCTCTAGCAAGGCATTACCTTATTTAAAGGAGTTAGGATTTTATGAAAATCCATTCAGAAAATATTCTAACTTCCGTTCAAACTTTACTTCTTGTTATCAAGCATTTTTTATAATGTTTGAAAAGCCAAAAATAAGGGTTTCATTATACTGGGGGGAGGGGGGAGGGGGTGTAAGGTTGTAGTGGAGAATAACTCTATGAGGTATAGTTTATCTCCACAGTGTCATAATAAATTTCCGCTTACAGTGGAGTACGATAAATTGGTATCGTTGTTACGTAAAAAAAATGAGTGTGAGGAAATGTTCGGTGAACCTTAAAATAACCGGTAGATATCCATATTCTGTGACTCTGCCGGGGTTTGCTTGTTATTCTGAGTTTAACATCGAAGAAGATGAAACTCTTAGAGATTTTTTGTGGATTACGGATGAATACAGGGAATTTAATGTGATACAATTATTGGAAATGTACGTCAAAGCTGAAGACGTTCGCAATAATGAGATTGAGCAAAGCAGGGATAACCCCCAGTCATTGGGTGGTTATTCTGGAGCAATTTTAGCCCAACAGGTTCCGGCGGAAAGAGTTTGGCCGGATCTTAACTTATCTCCGCGGGCGAATAAGGAGCGAGGAAATAACTTCTCTCCTACCTTACATAATCCACAAGACGATTGGTAAGCTTCAATTTTTCTTTCTCTTACAATGTTTATTTTTTGTTGAATTAAATTTGTATTAACACTCATATTTTTCACAAGGGGGACCGTCTGGATATGAATTTTACAAGTTATGACCCCACACCCAGTTGGAATATGCATAGTTTTTGCGTGTTGGATCACGGTGGTCCATCTGGGAGTCATCACCAACAGAAAAATGTCCATCAGGGAATGTCAAGACAGTACGACTTGTAAGTGAAGTGATATAGCTATATGAAAAATATTTATCAATTTGAGTAGATTATTATTTTGTTCTTTTTGTGCAGTGAAAATGAACAACTTGATGGTCCTGACCTCATTCAGTTGCCTGTAGACGATGTATTTACTTGTGATTTAGCAGATGCGCAGAGTCAGGAAGATAAAAGTGATTATGACAACAATGCCGATGAGTCTGGAGATGACACACACTTCCGTGACAAGGGTGATGAGGAGGAGGAAGTGAATGTCGAACCAGAGCTGACGAGGGAGCATGCTCCTCCACCTCCCGTTAGACCATGAGTGTACGAGTCCCACGTGCCGTTTCATGAGCAGAATATTCCCTACCTTGATAGCCAAGTATGTCGGATGTGGATGCCCTCACAAGGGATGCTGACGAATTTCGGTTAGCAATGTGGGATGAGTCTAGACCAACGGTGCTGACAAAGGGCATGTATTTTTCCGATAAAGCTCGTTTAACTAGGGTTGTAAAAATGTACATCATAAGAGAGTGCCATAAGATGATGGTATGGGAGTCAACTCTGGAGGTATACAAGGTCAAATGTCGTAGACACTTTATGAGTTGTAACTGGATGTTGCGTGCGATCAAGAAGGAAACAGGGGTGTGGAAAGTGGGTAAATATATTAGCACCCACAGATGTGAAATGGACACATTCAATGAGAATCACTTCAACTTGGATGTAGATTTGATTTCTCTTATCTTGATTCCACACTTAGTGTCCATAGGTACAACATCAAAGAGTGTATTACATCCATTCACCAGGAATATGGGTGTACTATAACCAAAAGAAAGGCATATATCGGGCATAAACGTGCATTTGAAATTATTTATGGTGACTGGGATAAGTCATTTTCATCTCTACCCAGGTACATAGCCGCACTGAAACACTTTAACCCCGGGACTGTTGTTGAATGGAGGCATGAGTGGAGTCCGGGAATACCAGAAAATATATTCACATACGTGTTCTGGGCATTTAAACCAGCCATTGATGGTTTTGTGCATTGCCGTCCAGCAATTTCCATAGACGGTACTCATGTCTATGAAAAGTATGATATTAAGCCGTTGATCGACGTTGCAGTAGATGCCAATGGACAAATATTTCCACTAGCCTGTTCCATTTGTGCCAATGAAAGCGAAGAGACGTGGACACGATTTTTGAACCACTTGAAGCAGCACGTTGTCAAACAGCGTTCAGGTATTTGTCTAATATCTAATCGGCATGGTGGTATTTTAAGTTTTGTACGGCATTTGTCTGAATGGCAGGAACCCTATGCATACCACTGTTACTGTATGACCTAAAGGCCAATTTCTAGAAGAAATATCCCGAAAAGGCCTTGCATGATTTAATGTGGATGGCTGCAACTGAGCACCAGCAGTGCAAATTCGGGAGGCGCATGGAAGCGATCCGGTAATTTAGGATCGCCGGCATGTTGCTGCATCTGCAGTCCCAACTGGTAGAATAAATGATGAACAATAGCCTACAAAATATTTAAAATATTAATTACAGAACGCTATATCACAGTTATAAGTAAGAATATCAAATAACATATCAGTGCCCCATGCCTCTCGGCATATGGTCTGTACCGACCGCCAGCTTGATGAATGGGGTTCCCAATAAAAACTCGGGTAACGCGGTGGTACCAGGACGTATAGAGCTGAACAGTCATTGTCTGGATCTGTGAAGGTGGGGGCGGAATCAGGTCAGCTCGCTGGTCCCAAGCATGGACATGCGCCTCTAGCCATTCTACAAATGCGTCGTCTGTTGATACCCAATTTTTTCTATATATTTTATTATACAAAATACTTTTAAAATAGCATATTTATGCATATATAAGAATGTCCAAATGTTTTATTATTTTTTCTTAATTTTTAAAAAAATTTAAATTTATTTATTACCCTATTTTATCCATAAAACCCCAATAATTATTCCCAAAATTATCATTTTGGTGATTTATTTATTGGATTCTCATATTTATACTAAAATATAGGTAATTTAATTTTTACATATTTTTACAAAGTCATTTAGTATTTTTAAAGTTAAATTGTATATAATTACAACATTAGCCTCTTTTAAGATTGATTACGTTTATATTCATAAAATTTAAGGCTGGTATTTTAAAATAGTTAATTATGTGCTACAAATTATTTTGGTACCTTTAATTTATTTTCAGAAATTAATTTATTATTATTTATAAATTAAATAGAGAAAATTGGCTATTTAAATGTTAGCCCAATTTCATTTCGATTATAGCCCAATTCTGACCCCAATTGAACTCAATTGAAACCACTTGAACCCCCGACCCAATTCTGATTTAATCCGACTCTAACCCATCTTCATAACCCGCCCATTCGCCCATTTTGATCCAGGTCGTTGATCATTCAGATCAACGGCCAACAACCATCCTTGCCTTTTTAATTCAAACGACCGCTAACCCTAGCCTCATTTCCAAATTCCACTACCTCTGAATCCCCTTCTCTCTCAACTCTCTCTTAAATTCTCTCAAACCCTAGCCGCCGCCATAAACTACAACCCTAATACCTCCCCAAATCTATGGTTCCCAAAGTCATCGGAGATCTATATCCACCTCTCATGACTTCTACGTGCTCGATTATTATGATCTCGAGGCTAGATCGTGAAAGAGCCTGGTCCAGGCTTGTTCGATTGCAGTTCATGACTGTTCTTCGGTCGTCTCCGACTTTTTCTCCGGCCAGCCATGGCTATTCGAGTCAGACTCTTGACTCTCCTGCTTAGATCATTGGTTTTCAAAGCCTTTCTCACCACTTGGGGTTATTTTGAAACCTTAGCCTTTAAGGTTCCTTCAATTTCTTTTTAGATCTGTTTCAGATCTATGTTTGCTCTGAACTTCTAAGTGTTTTTCTCAAATTTTCTTTTAAAACTCTGCTTTCAAAACCTCTTATCTTTCCGATTAGGGTTTTTGTTAAGTTATTTCAAAATATTTCTCTGATTCTTTGACATGTTTGGCTATGTTTGCTTATATCGTTCTTCTACCTGAGTTTGCATATTAAAACCGCTAATTTCTTTTAACTGTTTACTAAACGAATGTTTGTTTGTGTGAGTTTTGTCCGATTTGTTTGCTTATTCTCTTTTAAAACTCTCATA